GCTAAGACCGGCCTAGCCTAACTCAATATTCTGCGCAAATTTCGCACACACCCAGTTTTTACGTTGGATTTTTAAGCCATGTCATGACCTTTCCTTCACGGAAAGGAAGGCGATTACGCCTGGAGGGAAGGCGTCGTACCCGCCATATGCATCTTCGTCAAGAGTTACATCTGGCCCTCTAGTCAAGGCAGGTTGTTCGACGCCTTTTAAAGTTGCTTGTCGATTGAGTCGATCGACATTAGACGGTTCATCTGCTAACGCTACTGAGTAAAATCAGTTTATGAATATTTGTAAGTGTTGCAATTAATTGGGGATCTCCCGGGGTCATTTTTTCTTAGCCACAGACTGACCCAATGCAGTACGTACATGAGCGAAAGACTCGCGAAGTTGCGTCACCTCTGACACCAAGTCTTCATGAGCCTGTAACTATACACCGACTCTCTCCTGCGTTGCTCGACGAGCAAGTGGACTGGAAGGTCCACGTGGAGAGGATTCTGAAGCGGCATTGCCACAAAGGTCACACAAGTATTTGTTAAGGTGGCGTGGATGCCCTGAGTCTGAGAACTCATGAGGGTTTAACGTACCTCTTCGATAAGATTGACCGTTTGCCGTTGAAGTTTTTTGAGCATCATGCCGAGGCTTAGCTTGCAGCCCGACGCGCTTTCCACCAATGTGTGTGGTGGTATACGGCTCACTTGTCACTACTGAGCGAACCGCGACTGTCTGCACAGTCGAAACAGCGGTGGGGTTGACCAGCATCTGGTTTTAAATCCCTAGTTGCGATCAAGTGAACGTAGCTGATTTTTGGTCTTCAGCTAAGCAAATTTATGATGCAGTTCGCGCTTAACCGAACGTTGACTTTGTAGGTGCAAGATTTAAGGTCATTTATGATGGGCAAGCAACGTGCCCTACGAGCCCAGCAAGTAAACGTGCTCTCACCTTTGACCTCAATCTGCCGGATACAGAATGACCGGGATAGTTCTCTGCGTTGGTATAGAGGCACCACGTGCTTTTTTCCGTCAATTTGATTTATACTTGGAGATCGTTGTCGCTTCGGGCGTCATGTATTTTTCTCTCTGATAGCATCTCGTTGGTCAATGTCGTCGGGTGTCGTAGCTTTGCGCCCTGTGGACTAAGTAGTCAAGGGCTACCCTGCGAACTTTTGCAACAACTCATCAGCGCTTACAAGCTTAGAGCGGTAGTACGAATGCACTGCGGCAATAGATAATGTCTGAGATAGACGTCTAGATCTCATATTCTTCTTGATACAAATTTGCTGTCGCTCATCGAGCTTGTTTGTGATAATGGGATCATCAAGCATGGTTGGAGAACACAACGCTGTCAGTGTTTGAGCCGTGCTTGGTCCTGAAATGGGTTTGGCGCTGTGCACTAAGGTTTGCGCGACGCTGACGTGGCATGTTCGAGGGTTTAACCTTATTCTACGAGATTGCAACTGTCATAACAGTTGTCGTTCTCTTCTTGTTTGATGTCTTCCAATGACTCAAAAGAATGCGAAGACTTCACCATTGTCGCGCGAGGTGTCGTGAACACAACCGTGAGGTTATCTTTCCATTTTAAACTGTCTCAATTAGAAAGGTAAAGAACGTTGATTCGGGGTATCAGCTTTTTGATAGTGGCAGGTTTTACGAGGTTACACAAATTTGATAATCAGGTACATTGGTGTGGTACACACAGAAAGAAATCATTCCACTTCAAAGCGTACTATTGTATCACATACGCTAAGCAGTAAAAGAGTACCTTATCAGTTACGATTAGGTGGTATTTATTGTATTAGGGTCTTCGTAGAGGCGGCGTAGTTCTTGTGTGGTACACCTGAAGAGCCTCCGTAAGGACTATTCTATTAGGTTAAATTGTTTCAAGGTTCAACACGTAAGTGGTGTTTATTATCGCTATGTATCAGTAAAAACATTCAGCTCCCCTTTTTGATCAGTTTGAGACACGTGTCTTTTTGGACGTCTTTGGTCATATTGCCTGCGTTAAAGATAAGTACTCTTAGACACTAGTGCTATGTGATCATTTGAAGTCGTAGTCCTCTGAAGCAGGGATAGAAGCTTACGAGCTTATTAGAGAAGTACGAGATAAATCGTAGTAAGTCTGTAAGAATTGAGACACTCTAAATATTTACCCGCTTAGTTTAGTGGGCTAAGAGAATCTACGAGTCCAGAAGTCCTCATCTGACAAAGGAATTAGAGCAGTTGTGCTGGACCTAAAATGTCGAATTGTTTTTTCTTACTTTATGCCTCAAATTTCTAAATTTCCGCAGTCGAGACTGATCCAGTCATATCCACAACTCCATTTAAAGCAGTCCATTCTTCGATATTCTCCATAGCAAGATACAACACGGGCATATTATTGGCAAGGGTTCGCTGCTAGCACAGCCGCAAAATATACGAGCAGTATACAAGGGGGAGGGTATTGTGTCTGGTTGGCGTCCCTAAGTCTCGCGCTCGCTTTGGCGACTGCACACACAGTTGTTAGGACGCACGATAGCCTAAAAAGAACTAAATAAAGCTGATAAAGCCCTACTTCGTCTTGGCGTGAGTCTTTGGAGTCATGTTCATCCGGTGGATCAGCCGCGCCTGTGGTCGTCACTTCAGCGACATGTTGACATAGCAAATGTGGTGAATTGGGGCGCAAAATTGCTGATGCTATCCCGGCTCTCCACTGGCGCCTAGAAGACCGACCAACGGAGTAGGGACTCCAAATTCTATTGCACTTGTTCCTTTCTCACCTTGTGTACCCATCGGTATGGCGGGTTGCACTCTTCTTGGTGGACTTGAGTCAATGCCGATCTTGACCGTGTTTAGGATCGGGATCGTTCGTGCGGAAATCTTCACTCAATCGAGAATTCATGGGACTCTATTTGAGTCATCCGGATCTACATTGAGATCTCCTTGTAAAATACGTTGAGACTTGATTCGCGAGCCTTCTGACCACTTGAGCCGTCTCGCGATCTTGTACCTGAACCACCAGGGTTCATTGTGTTAAATAGCAGTTAGGGGCTAGTTTCTCTTGCGCTTCTGGCAAAATAATCGAGTAGTGATGTTATTGGAACAAACGTCAATCCTTTTATACGTCGTGAGGCCAAATAATCTTACCTAGAAGACGTGGCGTGTGTTTTTTAAAGCCAGCTGAGCTCTTTTTTGTTTAATGTTGACTAATCAAACCCCAAAACCTAAATCCGTGCCTGTTTGTATCCCCTAACCTGATGTTACGCGTCGCCTTATCAGGAAGATCGTTTGCTCGTATTTATAGTGGTCTGCACCAGGAGTATTAGTAGTGGGTTCTTCATGTGGTCCAACTCGGATGTCACGACCATCCGATCATGGATTACGATCTCAAGTCGGGGACGTGATCGCAAGTCGAAAACTGTTCCCGCAAGTTGGTGATCATGGTCCCAAGTTGAAGATCGTGTTCCCAGGTCTAGATCGTGACCTCAAGTTAGTGACAATGATCCCAGGTCGGCATCGTGAATACAATCCGGTCCTGCCATTACTCACGAAGGATTGCGTGATCAAACTGGTTTGACTGTCATCTGGCCTTGTCCACGTAGTGGTGATCTTGCTCATTGGAGGTTGGTGCGCTATTGCGAGCTACCCGTCCCATATTGCGTCCACCAATCAGAGACCTTTAAGCTCAATAGAAGTGTCCAATCCGTGCAGTCTCAACTCCAACTCAACCGGAAACTTCCTTGTGACCGCTTTGCCGCATACAGCCTACGCACACTTCTTGTTGCATGGAGCAGCGAATTACTGAGAAAAGTTGGAATATAGGCTCGCACCGGCTTGGACGGCGAATACAATCCCGCCCTACACCACGTATCTTTCTTTCAAGAGGACCACCCTAACAGCTCCGACGACAGCACTTCGTTTATGGTACAAACGCATTTAGACCATCTTCCACGTTTATGTGTAAATAGACGATCGTGAAAACACAATGCACATGTTTTATGCTGCTCATACTCTAGCTGTGCTTGAGTGCTACATCACATTCAACTTTACAAATTGCCTGTTGTGGACAGTATTGCTGATCACTGCAGCTTTCAGATTTAACCTCACTGTCCTTCCTGTTACCCACCCTTTGTTGCCTTTCAATTGTTGTAACATAGCCTTCACGCAGTGTCAGCTCATCAAGCGCAATACAAGGTTCGTCCGCAGAAGCACACAGATATTCTGTGATCTGGTTATGGCCATCCACCAGGTCGGATGTACGATGTAGTAGGTGATGTGGAATTGATGGGCGTTGCTTCTAAAACGTTTTGAAAAACAATTTGACAATTTAGGGCGGTTCAAATCCAATTACTTGTTGAATGTATGAGCTAAGGCTCATCATCGAAAACTAAAGGCTCATGAGCGGCTCCCCATATATATTTAGAGCAGCAAAAGTATCGACTAATGGAAACAAAGGATGCAGATAATCTCTTCGTTATGATCGGTACAGACCATGCGGACCAGCGTAAAAAGCATACATTATTATCGCAATCATTACGTGAGACTGATCTGTTGAATGTCAACATAATGAGTGAGTGGAGGTGAGGCCTGACATCGTCAGCTATCACTTGCTCCTATCCACAGTCGAATCGACGGACATTTCGAGCAGCACGCGATTTACTGAACGAAAGCCGATTTAGCTCTCAAAAAACATAAAGCTCCGCTAATGTCATCCTAATCGCTATTTCATACTGAATGCATCATGTTAGACATCAACAGTGCTTTCAAACGTCGGTTTTTGAGTTCTTACCTCGGCATAAGGTACTAACAGCCTCCACGCGTGTGCCTTCATTATCATTTCAACGCTCTTGGTCCTTTTCGGTCATAAGCACACACTACACGAGCCAATACGAGCGCTACGATAAACGCAATTCATGTGGTGCACATACATGCTACAACGATGTGCACACCCACCGCCACTTACGCGTTACTTCAACAACACAAAACGGCTGATCCATTGCGGGAATCGCGTCGTCATTGACGGATACCATGACCAGGGCAGCGCTGCACGAAGAAGCACGCGTCGAGACGTACACGCTCCTGTACTTCACAAGCAGCTGGACGAATGGTACAGACAACATGACGCTGCCGAGGCTACGTGCGGTTCTAGGTGAAGTCAACGCGCTGTATCGCAAGCACCGGCTGATTGAACTGCTGCAAGTTGTTCGGACTGAAGACCGCGGACGAGTCAGCGATGCAAACGTTCATTGGCTGGATGGTTCGTAAGTTGAAGTTGTACAATGTACGATCTTGTTGGGTGTATAGAGTATTGACGATGGATTTGTGTCTTTTTGGCTGTCAGAACCTTCCGGTTGCGGTGTAGAATGTACAAAGTGACGGAACTACCGGCGTGTGTCATGCTGGACGCTCAGGGACAAGTGTTGACGGAGGAAAACATGCGGGCACTGGAGGTAGCAAGCAGCTCTTGTAACGGACATGGACAACTAGAGTGGGACTTTGTTGACTTTGTTTTGATGTGTATGAATAATTGTCGACAGCTTCACGAAGATGGAAGTGTATCGACATCCCGGATAGAAACCGAATCTTTGTGTGAGTGAGAGGTTGGTCGTGGTATGTTTGTCTTGTTGACGTAAGCAAGTGCTGACTATTGGTTGCAGGGGAAGTGCTGAAAGAGCTTTTGAAACATCACGAAGCCTCTGCTGCTGCTTGGAGTTCGTTGCGGCCGTTGTGGCAATTTTCTGGTTTCGTCTTGTGCCACGCTCCTCCACCGTTGCTTGAAGCGGATGATGCAACCCTTGTAGAGATGCGCGAGAAAGCTCTGGAGCTGTTTGAATCTGGAGAGTTTCTTCCAGCTGCAACAGGCTTCGTGAACGCTTTAGTGCGGTGTCCAACATGCACGAAGTCTAGCTTTAATCTTGCGGTCATTCTTCAAACGATTGGTACGTGGAGCGTACGTAGAGCTTTAACTACCGTTGTGCTGACTCCAAGCTTACCGATGTGGGCTACTCTGGTGTAGGCGAAACATACTTTGCCGTGCGTAGCATGCTACGCGTCGTCGCCCTCGATGACAGTGACTTTGTAGCACATGCGGTTCTTCGGTAGGCGGCATGCATACACTTCATTTGTAAGCAAGTTGCTATGTTATTCACTCGTCGTGTTCCTATCAGATCTGTGTACTATCTGGAAGAACCCGACCTTGTGGTTTCTGGATATCGTCAGATCCTCTCAGCGCATTCGAAAAGCCATGTTCGTACGGCACACACGCTCGCAACAATGCAGGGGGCCACGACGACTAGTACGGCTGCTCCTGCTTATGTTGCAAAGGTTTTTGACGAGCTTGCCGATAGCTTCGAGGACAAACTCGTGGCACGCTTGGAGTACCGCGTACCCTGGCAACTTGTCGAGGCTCTACAAAAGCTTTCTCCAGCGGGATTTACTCTCAAGGACTCCACTGCCAAGCCAACTTGGGTTGTGGCGGATGTTGGGTGCGGCACTGGTCTATGCGGTCGCTTACTTCGTCCACACGTGAAGCATATCACTGGAGTAGGTAACTCGTTGCTTGCTGGTCAGGTTGCAGTATTGACATTTGTCATGTTCCGCTTGCTTCAAAGGTGGACATCTCGCCGTTGATGATTGAAAAGACACGTGCCCGAGGCAGTTACGATGAGCTCTACAGTATGTACATATTTTGAGTGTTCCACAGGTCGCTTTATAGGTCGGCAAGGATGAATCCACGTGGCGATCAACTGACCTTGTGCTGATTTTTGTAGCGGTGGACATCGCGCCATTTCTGGAGTCGTGCGCCGATGGGTCACTGGACCTCATTATTTCGGCAGATGTGTGGATTTACGTAGGAGCATTGGAACGAGTATTTGAGTCGGCCGCACGCACGCTTCGTGCCTTTACAGGATGGATGGCCTTTTCGATCGAGCTTTTGTACCCTGACGCTACCGACAGTATCGAGGACACCGCGACAGGTTTTCGTTTGGCTCCATCTGGGCGGTTTCAGCACTCGCATAGCTACATCGCGTCTCTTGCATCTCGCTTCGCGTTCACCATTTCCCTACAAGAAGACGTTAGCGTGCGAAAGGAGAGCGGCGAACCCATCCCTGGTCGCATCTACCTTCTACAACGAGTCGCAACATGAGATGACTAATGCTCAACGTTTCTTCATTATTCGTTAAGAACGAAAAGCTACTGCTGGAGTAATTGCACTGAATTCGCTACTGCTGGTTTTGTCAACATGTACCCCCGTCAGCTTTTGTAACGTCTCACGATAGTCCCACGAGAGCACTATCTGTCGGATTCGGTCGTCTTTGAATGTAAAGAACGAGCAGCCTCGAATACAAACCTTCTTGTGCCGAGGCTGCACGCCAAAGATAGGGAAGATCTGCGTGCCGCTAAAAAGCCACGTGGCCTTCATCTTGTCGCTCTTGCCATCCTCGCGCTGTATAATGTACTCCTCCATGATACCATCAGGAAAGGCATCCAGCAATAGACTCCAATGTGACATGACAGCGTCCACCCCACGCAAACAATCAGCGTAGTCGGGACTGAAAAGAGTAACGTCGTCGTCATACACGTTCGCCGCAATCTCCTCCAGATCTTCAATGCCTCCCGTGTTCCACGCCTCTAAAATGCCATGCAAAATGTCGTATCGCCGTCGATACGCTTTCTCCGTCTGCTCACTCGTCTTTGCCTCGCTTGCTATCGACGTTGCCAACTCTTTCTCCGCTCTCTTCACCTTCTTTTCCACCTGACAAGACGCACCCCCTTCATCCCAATGTCGCTGCCCTTCTGCCATCTCCCGTTTGCGATGGCAATCAACAGATGCTCCTGACGTCATTTTTGTCGTCATGGACGTGGTCGGTGGAGTCAACACTCGCTGCGATTGCAGCTGCGGCTGTTCCAGTACTTGGGGCTCTAGTTTCCACTCCATGAGGCGCCGTAGCTCGTCGCTGCCAGCATGTGGGTCAAAGTCTCCAGCCAACAGCATCGCAAAGTCCTGCTCTCTCTCGTCAAGGAACGCCTGGTCCGCTGCAAACAGGAGCGAGTCCGGCGTCGCGTCTAGATCCGCAACGCACGACTCGACACAGTCGTCGGCTGCCGCCAACAGGAACTGGTCGAGACCGCTTAACTCGGGCGTTTCCAGGCTAGTAGCAAATGGACTCAAGAGACCCGAGAGCGCACCAAAGTTATCGAGCGTCTCTTCCCACTCGCTGCTGGGACTGCGTCGCATCAACGAAGCCAGACTAATGCCATCGGGCGTCGCGTTGCTGCAGCGCATGAGTCGTCTTCGACAGCAATAAAAAGAAAGAGTCAAAAGTACCGAGGACTTCTTCTCTCTTTGCAAGCAAGTGGAGGAATGACCTCGTCGAGCTTTGCGTGGAAAGTCTCTTCAAGAATTCAGACTGACAGCGACGCGTCACGCGAAGATGGCCTGTCGATGCATCGTTGATGATGCAATCGTCCGTTCTGAGCTGTACGGTCGACGTTGTTGATGCGCAATGACGATGGGGGTGGGGTAGAAAAGCGCCGGTTCTCAGCTGAAAAGGTACGACCGTGGAACATAAAAAGGGTACGATTGCAGCCCTCGATCGTCGAAACATCGGGGTTGCGGTTTCTTTCACCGATACGACAGTGTCGTCGTGGACTGAGGTACTGACGCAGGCGCGTCACGATAGCGACTGAAGTGTCGAGACCCTGTCACTTTGTACCCTATTTATGACCGTTTAGATGGTGTAGCGATCATTGGTGAATGTCGATACTCAGGCAGCTGTAGCGTGTATCGCACACAGCGTTAAGATCGTTGCGTCATATCACATGTCGTTGATTTGCAACGAGCTTGCACTTCCGTGTTTGTTTTCCACGATGAAAATCGTTGCCTTATTGTGAAGATAGAAATGATGAAGCGTTAACACAACAAGGACGAGGTTACAAGTTTGGCCAATGCCGATATTAGAGGACAAGCTGACGCGTGCTGGGGATAAACAACAGTTCGGCTTCCAGCTGAACCAGCTAGCGTATCGAACGAGTAGGCCTCGGCAAAGTAAGGTAAGACACCCTTCGTTACCCGGTAAAACGGTAAAATTAGTGCAAAAGGGTAAGGATAGGCAACGGGTGAGGAAGCGGGTACAGCAATGATAAAGACGATCTCATTACCCGATTACCCGGTAAGTACAGGATAAAAAAATTTAAACTCTGACGTAACGGCTTCCGTGTGGCGTTTTGCGAGTTGTGAGTTTTTCTCTGGTCACAGAGTCCAAAACTGAGGGAGCCACGGAGTTCTGCTGAGTTCTGACCTCCCAGAGCGCAGAAAAAATCATCAACAGTCAAAGCACACGTCTTCGCGCGCGACCGCATTTATTTATTCATGAAGGGCTTTAACGGCCGCGGCGACGACGACGTTCAGACCGTGATGCTAACTACAAATCATCTATTTATATGTCTCGCATACGCGTTGAAAACAGTACACGAGATATAAATAATGAGTGGCTATATGCATGCAAGTGGTGCTTCGTTTTGTAGTTTACATACGTAAAGGTTTCCTGCGCTCATGGATGTGTGCTGGTATCCCTAAAGTGCGGGTGAAATGAGCACAAGCTGCTGCCGCACTTGTTCAGTCCGGCACCAATAACCTGCAACTCAGCAGCTGGAGATGGGTCTGGAAATTGAGGAGAGGACTTCTTGACAATGGTGATATTTAAGTTGCTTCACTTCAATTCACCGAGTTGGTATTTGGGACCGAATCGGAACTCTGATAAATAACCGCACTAGTGCATTGTGCTCGATACATGTCGTACGCAACTCGATCCTACGCAACCCACCCATTCAGTCGATTATGATAGGCCGGCGATGTCGTCGTATCATTAATTTCAGCTGCAACTCCAAGGATTCAATCAGTCATTAAACCGTTTGTTTACGGGCAATTAATTACCCAGCTAAAAGGATAGAGTAAGGTACATGCAAAGGTAGCCACATGCCAATTGGGAAAGGTAGTGGTAAGGTAAAGGTAGAACAAAAAGTATTACCCGGTTACCTTTTACCTTACCTTGTCGAGGCCTATTCACGGCCATGTTTGTGTTCTTTCGTCCGCTTCGTAAATCCCGAGAAATGTAAATTGATCGTAATAACGTGCTCTATCGCATGCGCTACAAGTCTACAATATGTCAGACCTATCAAAATAGATTGGATTAGTCAATTTAAAATTAATTTACTAATCAAGACATGACTGCAATAAAACGGATACATACCCAAAGCTTGTATACATCTTCGGTCCCAAATCATTATGGAATCGAGACGCCACACCACCTGTATAATCGGCAAGGGCTCTGACCCTCTTTGATAGTACTAGTCTTGATTAAGCTTCGGACTATGTGATGTTATATGAAAAAAACGAAGGTGGTAAGCTACGCGTGCTGGACGATCTCAATATTGCGTCAGCCTTTGCATCGACGTCCTGCATAATGTCATAACAGTTTATCGAAACCTTGTTAATTTTGCGACGCACGCTGACGTAGCAGATGATTCTAGTGTTCGTCAGCATGAGTCGCGGGCCACACGATTTCTTCTTTTGCGCGAGGTGTGATTGCTGACGCCACGATATCTTGAAGGAAGCAAGCTGTTGTCGCATAGGTAGCAGCAGCTTGCGTCTATCAAAATCCGATAGTCATGTAGCTGATACATGCAGCCCGTTGGGTCTGTCCAACTCACGCACCCACCGCTGGTAGAAGTAATCGTCAGCACGTAAGCTGCATGTGGTGGTCTTGTGTCGAAACCCTGGTTGGCATGGCAGTCTCAACTTATCACATGGCATTCTCGCGGTCACTCTGTCACCTTTGTATTAGGCAGAACTACAATGCTCTGTAGACAAGCGTAGCACCGGATACATCCCAATGACGTCTACATCGCGCCAATGACAACAACAATGACGAATTCAGTAAACTTCGCGATATGCTTTCTCGACACTCGACAACATCACATCGCTGCGTGCGTCTTCTACAGCACTACTTTCCTTAAGTATACACGACAGCCACCAACCAATCGTAATACACTTGTCGTCAACTCGTCTGTCGGTCGCAAGTCAGCGTCGTCGTCGTCACTTCGTTCTTTTTTCCTACCCCTTATTACGCCTATTCCGCCAGCACATACCACAAATCAGAGTCTTTTTCGACCAATCGCAATAGTCCTCACGTTTCCACCAATCACACAAGGCCCTCTGTAATCAGTGCCCAGGAAGCCATGGTCCTCGCCCCGCGCCCCGTCCGCGCGCTTCTCCCTGCGCTGTACGTGCTCGCAGCGGCGTCTGCCACTTCAAATATACCTCATAATGAAGACCAGAAGCGTGTGGATGCTAAGAACGGGACGGAATCTGCTCTCGGTCTGTCTATGGACGTCCCGAAAGTCGAGACGTGGGACGTTCAAGTCGACGGATCTGTCTCCAGCACCGAGCAGCAGTTCTGGCGTCCATTAACAGCCAATGAGGAGTCCGTATCAAGTGGTCAAGGCAGCCAATGGGAGACAGCTACTGGAGACGACGAAGAGGTCGTGGAGACGGAGCGTGTCCCGTCTCTGGTCGTAGTGAAGGCCTCGGAAGCTTTTGTGGCACTGGAAAATCGCATTGTAGCCGAGGGATTCACTGATGAGCTTGTGGACAAGCTGGATAAAGTGGTGGACAATCGGTCGGACAACGAGGATCCTGAGACAGCGAACGACTGGGCGTTTGCCGTGACGACGCTCTCGTTCAAGCAGCTTTTTGAACCCGATGCAGCTTCAACCAATGAACAGGCTTTTATTGATGCTGTAAATAACCTCCATGTTGCAGCCGATGCAGGCGTGCAGTCAGCTCTGAGTGTGCGAGCCATGATGGACCTCATAGGCGTCCCTGATCCGGAGGAGATGGAAGATTTGACGATCGTGCGCCTATCGCGACAGGAGAAACAAGCTCGTGGTGACGAGATGCTGTCGAAATTGCTGGCAATAAACGACTTTACAGCTACTTTAGCAGTGGCGTACGGGACTCAGTCTGGACGGATCTCTGTGCCGAGAAAAACAGATGGAAAGGATGCTTCGGCTGACGCGGGTTCGGTATGTGAAGCTGCTTTACCCTTGTACCGCGCGTGTGCTGAAAGAAATGTGCACATTATTGCTGGTAAAGACAGCGAGCAAACCGTAGGGGTCCCGCGGCTCTCGGATGAGCTCCTGTATCCTTCAGAAAGTAGTTTCATTGATGACTACGAAATTGGGAGGCTCCATTCGCTGTCCAACGAGAACGCTGCAGCTCAGGAGATAGAACGTTATCATGACATTGCAAATAACCCCATGGATGAGCAGTATCCACAGGCAATGCTGCGTCTGGCTGATGCCTATTACTTTGGCAACCCGGCAGCCCATGTGGCGGCTAATCAAGAACTCGGAATACAATATTTTCGCCTTGCAGCGGATGCTGGTAACCCAGTGGCTCAAGCTAATTACGGTATTCTCCTCGCGAGAGGTATCGGTGTCGACCAAGACGTACAAGAAGCGATTGTGTACTTAGACCGCGCAGCTCGGCAAAAGCAAGCGTTTGCTTTGCATGAACTTGGCGTCATTTATTTTGATGGCGACGGTGTTCCTCAAAACGTGACACGAGCACTCGGGCTTTTCGAAAAAGCGATTGCACTAGGCCACGTTGAATCGCATTTGTTCCTGGGGTCCGCTTATATGCATGGAGACGGAGGTGTCGCGGTTGATGACGAGATGGCATTTTCACATGTTGAGGCAGCAGTACATGACGCAGACGGCCAATCAAGCCAGGCGTTGTTCGAGTTGGGCGTTATGCACTTTCGAGGCATTGGTACACCGCGCTCTTGCCATACTGCTATGCCAGTGTTCCGCTCGGTGGCCTTGCATCCCCATGTGCTATCCGGGCTTCCATTTTCGTTAGTTAAAGCGTATGAATGCTACACAAAAGGTGATTATCTACGTGCGTACTTGCACTACCGGCTCGTGGCAGAGCTGGGGGACGAAGATGGACAATGTAATGCGGCTTTCCTGCTAGAGCATTATGGCGATCATATTCTCAAGTGGCAGTGGCTAGGACTTGCCAAGCCAAACGAGGTCTCGGGCAATCCGTTGCTGCGAGAAGTCCTGGTGTTATATTCGCAAGCGTCGGCGCTGAACGATTCCGAGGCAATTCGAAAGACTGGTGTATGCTTCCATGAGTCATGGACCGGCGTGTGCTCAAGGAATCACACCCGTGCACTAGAGCGCTACAAACTTGCAGCGGAGCTAGGCAACGCACAGGCTGGCTACGATTGTGGTTCGATGCTGGTAGCAGGCGATGGTGTACCTCGAGATCTTGCAGCTGCTCGGAGCTACTACAAAACATGCAGTGAAGCCACGTTTCCTGCCAACGTGCCGTGCGTACTCGCGCTTGTCGGGCTGGATATCTTACCGATCATCGAGGTGATTGTGCAGAAGATTTGGGCGTGACAAGACCAGCTTACAAAAGAACCGTAGGAACTCTGACCGATCAATGATAACTTGTTGACTGGCATTGAAAGACAGCGACACCACCCTGTCGATTCAACTTGTCTTTGTGACGTGTGAAGCAGAAATAGAGCACCGACAAGACACACGGGGTTCTGCTGATTACCTGCTTTATACAACATCGAAACTCTGTACACCGTTATCGCCCGAATGTTTTCTCTTCATTTGCTTGAAACCAACGGGAATGGACGACCGCATTGTTCCACGTAGCTCGCGCCATTTGCGAACTTCGTCAAAAATGAGCACGGTCGATGCAATGCTGCAGATGTAGATCAGGTCACCAAACGTTAACGCCTCAGTCTGGAACGTTGCCTGAAGCGGTGGGAAGTAAATGACGAGGAGCTGGCCCAGTAGCGACGCACCCACTGCAATGGCAAAGAACGTGTTGGAAAGAATGCCAATCTCAAAGACGGACTTGTCGTTTGACCGGCACGAGAGCGCATTGAACATGTCAAACATCACGAAAGTGGTGAAGCTCATCGTACGGTCGCGCTTGCTTACCGTGCCATCAGCACTCAACTCCACCCAAAATACGTAAAGGGTGCCGCACACAATGAAGCAGGCTGATGTCAGTACGCGAGATATCATCGCGCGCGTAATAATGCTGGCATCTCTCGAGCGCGGGCCTTCCCTCATCACGTCATGGTCGACAGGCTCCACGCCAAGACTTTGCGCTGGAGGTCCGTCCATAATGATATTGATCCACAGAATTTGCATGGCATTCAGCGGAGACGGTAGGTTGAACAGCGTGGAAAATGCAATCAGGCATAGCGCAGAGATGCTTGTACTGAGCTGGAAGCGCAGAAAGTGTTTGATGTTGTGGTAGATCGACTTGCCTTCTTCCATGGCGCACAAGATTGTGCTGAAGTTGTCGTCGAGTAAAATCATGTCCGCAGCCTCTTTCGAAACGTCCGTTCCGTTTATGCCCATAGCAATGCCAATGTCTGCTGCTTTTAGTGCAGGGGCATCATTCACGCCATCGCCAGTCATAGCCACCATTAGTCCCACCTCTTGGAAAGCTTGAACAATCTTAAGCTTGTGGTGAGGTGAGGTCCGGTAGAACACACACGTCTTCAGAATGCGCTGCTCGAGCTCTACCATGTCGATGATCTCCAGTTCCTGGCCGGACATTACCATCTCTTCCAGCCCGTTGCTCTTCTTATCGTTGTAGCCGGCACTGCCAAAATCGTTGCTCGAAATGATGCCCACTTTCGTAGCTATCGCAATAGCAGTATCCTTGGAATCTCCTGTAAGCATCACGGTCTTGACGTCACATAAAGACAGTTCAAGCACAGATGTTTCAATTCCAGCGCGAGGTGGGTCTGAGATTCCCACGAGTCCAGCAAACACCATGCCACGATCCGAGTGCTCACCAAAAGACAATGCCAGAACGCGGAGACCACGAGCCGCCATTTGCTGGGATGCCACAAAGATACGCTCGCGGTCAGTTGGAGTCATCTCCTTTTCACGACCACAATTATCTTCAATCTTGTCGCAGCGTGGCAAAATAGCCTCTGTCATGCCCTTGAGATGCCAGCGAGAGGGACCACCTGAAGGCAGCTCACAACACACAGCCATCCACTTCTTTTCCGAGCTAAACGGCACCTCGCTAACACGACGGAATTGTTGAATAACCGAAGGACAGATTCCCACTTTCTGCGCACATAGCAAGACAGCGCCCTCCGTTGCTTGGCCTATTACCTCGCGGTTTACAATCGTCGCATTGTTACACAATGCGCCAGACAGCAAGCAGTGGTAAACATGAGGGTGCGATGCCTCTGTGACAGGCTCTCCACGCATAGTGACGGTCGGATGAGCGGTTTCTTGAGCTGCTCCAGAGGAAGGTGCCCGTGGATCTTGCTCGCCGACACCATTTACGTGAGCAGTCACAATTTCAGTCGGCACGAATATTTCAACGACCTCCATCTTGTTCGTCGTGATTGTGCCCGTCTTGTCCACACAGACAACATTGATACAACCTAGCGCCTCGACAGCAGGGAGCTTCTTCACGATAGCGTGTCGTTTTGCCATCTTCATAACTCCGAATGCCAACGTGACAGTCACACAAATCGGCAGACCCTCCGGGATGGCAGCCACAGCTAACGAGACACCGATTTGAAGCATGGCCAGCATACCCTTTTGTTGGATCACGCCAATAACGACAATCACGCCGATAACGGCAAGTGAGAACATGCTGAGATGCTTGCCGAGTGTGTTCATACTATTCTGCAGAGGTGTCTTGCGCTCCTCAACGTTGTGCACTACATCAAAAACCTGTCCAAACTCGGTGCGTGCTCCTGTGCCCACCACAACAGCTCGTCCACGACCCGCGCGCACCAATGTGCCCATGTAAATGATGTTCTTGCGCTCAGCAATCGGGTGCAAGTGACTGTCTGCAATAGCCTCAGTAACCTTAGCAACGGGTGTGTTTTCGCCCGTGAGGTTCGACTCGTCGACTTCAAGATCCACTGCCTCTACCAACCTCGCATCAGCTGGCACGCGATCTCCTACGTCCACAATGACAATGTCACCAGGCACGAGTTCCTTCGCCAGCATGTCGATCACTGTGCCAGCTCGCAGCACTTTGCAGTGTGGCGGCACGAGTTCCTTGAGCGCGTCCAGCGTCTTTTCCGAGCGATATTCCTGCACAAAAGCCACCGTGACAACAATCGTGATCGCGACAGCAATGGACAGGGCGTCGTCCGTGTGCCCCATGGCGACACTCACGACACCGGAAGACATGAGCAGCAGAATGAGCGGGTCTTGAAACTGGCCGGCAAACTTGACAAAGACGGACGCGTCTTCCTTCCCCGCGAGCTCATTGAGTCCACACTCGCGCTGCCGCTCGCGCACTGACAGCTCCGAGAGGCCATAATTAGCATCGACAAAGAGCTCTCGCGTCACTTCTTCGTGCAGACGGGACGACGCGTGGCTCAAGACGCTGCCTTCCTGTCCCAGTAGAGCCAGCGACAGTCGCTGTTCGTTACTCGATGCTAGCGACGGCGCTGGGCACGCAGCGAGACGAGACGAGACCGCATCTTGTACTGCACTTTCTTGCGGTTTTGACGCGCTATTGACGTCGGTCGTCATGGCAACAGACGCGCAGAAACGAGAGCAGGAAGGGACGCCAGGGGGCCGGGAAGATCGTCCGGACTTCCTTGTGGATTTTGGTCGGATTGTGTCGCCTAGCGAAAATACGACAAGATGGAGACGTTGCGTTTTGATTGGATGAAAGAACGACGAGATGAGCTGTTTTCAATCAATGACAGACGTGATGCACGTAAGATCTGCCAATGAAACGGGATTAGCCGACAAGCCAGAAACTGGTGTGATCCACATTCTGTGTGGTCCAGTGGGTGTGGTAACTAACTGACCATGTAAATCTGCGCCTTTGAATCGCAAACAATCGACAGTATCATCAAATATAATGTTCGGGTAGGTGCAATGCATAACGGAGACGGGCGTTTCGTGTCACAAGTAAATAAAACAATTGGCATACGGCTTCTCAACTGTTCCCGAGTGATGCTACTGTGCACGTGCAACAACTTAGTGAACAAGCACTGCGCTATAATGTACGCGTATCAATCCGTTTAAGAAGTTCAACAACACGTGGTTCTTGGCACTATAACTCCGTGCATTAGTAGTAGGAACGTTGTTTTTTCCCACACATGCCACTATCTTTGCTGCCCGAAGTATGCCTGCCACCTACTCGGTGCTGAAGGACCATGTGCAGTGGATCGACCGGTATCGTGTCATTACAGTTGAAGAAGACACACGCACTGCTACTTGTGACTGAATGAGGATATTTTCTTTACTGAACGAGCCTAAACTGGAAATTGGATCAGAGTAATATCAGACAGCAAGTACAAAAGAAACTGAGACGATGGGAATGGAAAACAGCTTGTCGAAGACAACAACGACCAGCTGGACGTTCGTTGTCTCTCTCTCTCTCTCTTTCACGTTCAATTCAGCATGATTAAAACTCGGGCCATAAAAATTGATCGCTTTACAAAAGTGAGGCTCAAGACTCCATGACAGAGACGGCTGAGCAAACGATGCCACCTGGACTCGGTACAAGGCAAAGCCCTACATCGTATCCGTTCAGACGCTAAAAATGAACTCCGTAAACTTTTTCGTGTCGACAGACTTGCCGTCCGCCTCCAAGAGCTCCGGTGCATTTTTCTTGATAAACTCGACCTGCGACGCGTCAAAACGCTCCCCAATCTGCTCAAGCGTCAGCTGCTCGCCGGTGAGGATATCCAGCGCCTCGTGTACGTCGCCTTTCGTGGATCCGCTCTGCAGCTGCTCCGTGCAGAAAGTAGAAAACTGGTCGAACGTAATCTCGTCGTTGTCCTCGTCGTCGATCTTGTCGAAGTAATCGTGACAGTCGTCCTCGCTCAGACTGAGACCGAGACCCTTGCACGCCATAATGAACTCGTCGCGAGCGAGGACTCCGTCGTCATCCAGATCGAAATGGTCAAACACTTCCTTGATCTCTTTCGCCTGCTGAGGAGTAAGGCTGCCCAACTCGCTCAGCACCAACTCCTTCTCCAGCGACTTGACCTTGGCACGCACGGCCGTCTCAAGCGAAGTGAATTGGGCACGCAGCCCATGGATCGTGTCCGTCGTGAACGGATTCGTGTGCACTTGCAGCCGCTCCAGCTCATCGTTGATGCGCTCCAGCTGCTCCATATCTTCCGTGAGAGGGACGATGAGCTGCTCCGTCTTTGCCTTGGCCTCCTCAATCTGCGCTGCATTCGTTTCCGCCATATTAACAATTGCAGCCTCAGTGCCAAACGAAGACTTCTCAGCCTCCCCGCCAGCAGGCGTCTCAACTCCAGCAATCTCAGGCTCGCTGAGCTTCTCCTCGACGTCTTCTTCGACCACAGTACTGGTACTGGCTCGAAACAGTCGGTAGCGCAGGTTCACCATCGAATTATACTGGTCCTTGAGCGAACCCTCCACAATGTTAATCGACTGCGTACTCTGCGCGCATCGTTCCTTGATACGGGTAGACAGCGTCGCAAATTCACGGCACACCTCATCACGTTTCTCAACTGTTGCAAGTTCCTTTTCGTAGTATCCACGCTTCTCGGCCAGCGAGTCCAAGAGCTTCTGCACGCGAGCATTCGTCTTGTCGATAAGGGCTACTTCGCTTGTGCGACCAGCATCCTCCAAAATCTCCCTCTTCTCGGAAAGCTTCTCGCTCTCGGTCACAACGGCGTTCTGAACCTTGGGCACCAACACAGTGTCAAACTGGTGCTTGGCAGCAACTACACCAGCAGTAGACACATCCTCTAGCTTCGTAGCCGCTTCCACTTCCTCATCCATCTCCTCGATGACGTACTTCAAATTGCGTATCAGTGCCTTGGCATCCTTGGCCACAGCGTCCACACTTTGTTGCAAACGGAGCCGTTCCTCCAGTCGAGCCTTCACGCTCTCAACCTTGTTTTCCACCATTGCGACAAAGTTCTTCATCGACTCCAGTCGTTCCAGTGTGGCTTTCGTGTCCAAGTGCTCCTCGGAGAGTCCGTCGGCTTCGCAGACGACCGAAGCCAAAAGCTGCTTGTACCGCGGAAGCTCAATGTCCTGCAGAAAAGAAACGCTCTCAAGCTTCTCTTCGGCGTCAACAGTGGAATTGACCTGCATGTCTTCGGCAAAAAGAGCCAGCGCCTCCTTTTCCGTGGCCCAAGCCTCCACTTTCTCCAGATCCTTGACCACCTTTGTAAGAAAGATCTCCGTCTTCTGGTAGCTTTCCAGGTTCTGACGCAGTTTCAGTTCAAAAGCCGTTTCCAGCTCATCAAGCTGAGCCTTAAGCGACTGCAATTTCTCAATCGGTGGGTCCAAGTTCGGTACCGCGCGCCCATTGTTCTTACAACTGGCAATCCAACGCCCAGCGCAACCTTCGACTGCCACAAACTGAGCCTCGCGCGGCGGCTTCTCGTTCTTCTTGTAGTCAAGGTGAAAAGCCAGTGCTTCCTTCAGGTCAACAATGTGGCGAGGCTGGCTGAGCGTCTGGAAACGTTCCGTCTGCTGCTGGAGCCATTCGAGCAAACCAGACGCATTCTTGTCGAATTCCGCTGCGAGTTCCTGGTGGCGCTGCGCAATGTTCAACGCCTTGGAAATCGTCGTCACGGCCTTCTTCTTCTGCACGCCGGATGCAAACTCCTTGAAGAGCAGGGAAACGTACGTGGTGATACTCTTTTCATCGGGCTTGGCCTGTCCTGCCACGTTTTCCACCTCAAGCAGTTGCGGGATACGTAACTTTTCGCGCGCAATGTCGAACGCAAGCTTGACATTCGTCTGCGGGTCTTTCGGGTCCATCGAGCTAAAGTCAATGAGCGTGGGCGCGTATCGATGGATCAAAGCGCAAAAGGCCATGCCGTCTGCCCAGCTGCTTGAGAAATTCTTCACGACCACAGACGGGTAGTCCGCCAGCGAGCGGTTGACCCAAAGCAGCAGACCGTCTTTGCCCGAGACGCCTTCGACGTCAATCTCGGCGACCTGAAAAGCCTTAATCAGCGTCCACATAAGTCCGAGCACGAGCTTATTGTTACCGTCCAGGATGTCGGACGAGCCAATGTTCGTCACGTTGACATTCTTCTTTTGCATGAACGCAAAAGCAAAGTTGAGGTTCTCCATCTTCTGGATCCGCATGCGCGGCTTCTTGTTGTATTTCTACAGCCACGAGACACACAAGACACCGTCAGCAACGTCCATTTCAAGCAGACATCAAGTCCCTCTTTGCCCCCTCCCCTCTCCCTCTTTCTTCAAGTCACGTACACGGCACACTTTCTCACGGCAGACGATCTGCAGCAGCGAAATGAGTCGAATCCCGTCCTTCAGGTCCTCGTACAAGTCCTCGATCGTCATGCGCTTGCGCGACAGGTACGTGTTGGCCCACTACAAGCAACAACAAGCACCACAACGACAGCAAAACATGAGTGAGTCTCAAGGCCAGATACAAAGCAGCCCCTTCCCTCTCGTCTACTTACTCTAGTGAAGGTGTTTTTCTGCACATCGACCCACTCTTCAGTGTATCCAGCCATGCTCCAGACGTTGTTGGAGCTCTCAATGCAGTCGTCGCTTGCGTGCTGCTTGCTTGCTTGCTTCTCAGTGCCTTCTTTGTTTTCTACCGACACGTGCACTCGAGCCAGTGGTCGATGCAAATCAAGTCGGAGGCGGTGGGGACGCTGGGCTGCTGCTACTTTGCGTCTGTCTCGAGTTTTTCGTAATTGACAGGGTCAGCGTCACAACTTGCGAGGGTTCAGTCGAGTGACAACGCAGTATACGGTGGAGTAGTAGCAGTGGTCCTAGGCGCACTCCTCCTACTGCTGTCTGCTTTTGCTCCCCTACCCCTTGTAGACGGGCTGGCTCCACGGGCCACAACCGCACAGTCGGTGTTACTTCACGTTTTGGATCACGACCCGTGGGTCACAAACCCACGCGGGAAATGCGGGCCTGCACACTGCAAACAAACGACCCGCGCGATGAACAGGAAAAGCCCGCGAAAAAAGGGCAGAGCAAACGAGACACGCGGCGATGCTATTCTTATCTGCTAATAGTTCGCTCTGCTACTGCTACTTCTCTCGGCTGCCTCCGAGATCCGGAAACGCACGATCGCAAGCAGATCGCTCGATCCTAGCAATCTGCACGGTCTCTTGTGCACTCGACGTGACGGCAGCGCACGCCAGTTGGTTTGTGCGAACTGGACGTTTTTCCCGCAACGAAGTGACGCTGTCGCCCAGCCGCTGCTGGAGCACAGCGCTGCACTTGAGGTAGTCGATTTGCAATGGCTCGAACGGTTAGTCTCACCAGGAGGACGAACAAAAACATGGACGTAAAAAGTGGTCTTGTCAATGCGACACTAAGCTGAGCTGCTATCATTTCGCGTAACGTCAGCTTCCCACCAACATGTCGAGTGCTTCAAACTTCCGACGTCCTTCGCGATCGCATACGATCCACGACGTGCTTACGAAGTGACGAAGCAACGTTACTATTCGCCAATGTTGGAGTGCAGCACGTTTACTGGCGACTGGCACGTCACAGCGTCACGAGCGCAATATCAACGCAATGTTCCAGTTCGGGAGTTGCTTCAACTTCGACAAACGGACAATGAGCAGCAAGTGGTCGGGTAGAGCATTACGACGATACCTGCTTTAAGTATGAAACGTATTTAAGGTCGTGCACACAATAATCGACCTTTGCGCTTCGCCTGACTAAAAAGAGGCCACACGGCGTTAGGCCGTCAAAAGGTACGGACATAGTAGCTAACGGACACTTACCTTGAGATGCAAAATGGGACGCGTTTTGTCTTCATGCCAGTATGTGGACCATCGCGAGAGGGTGTCGCCTCGTCTTTTCATCCGCTGCTTCCTCTTCTTCAATCGCCAGCGCTTGTACGAGTGCAGCCTCGTCCACAGGAGCCCATATCTTGCGCCCATTGTCAAGCTGAATAGCGTACGGGTTGCCCTGGTCCCAAAGCTGCACGATCGTGCCCGTCTGGAAACACTCCTCGCCCGTGTTCGCGATAACCCGATCGCCTACCTGGAAACGGAGGTCCGGCGTCGCTCGACAGGCGAGAAAGCCTTTAGTCAGTGCCTCGCGATCGAGGTTTTTGCCGATGAAAACAAATCGAGTCTCCCGGGTCTCCCCGGCCGCCCACGTGTCGGCGAATCGACCGTTGAACAGCGTATGCACGCCCTGGAAAACGTACTTTTGATCAATACCAGCAACGTTCACAACGCCCTTGTAGCGCAGTAGATCGTCTCCTTCTGTCTCTAGTAAGTCGTCGATCCACTCTTCCAGTAGCGCTACTAGAATCGGATCGGGCAAGACCAGACCCACTGACGACACCAACGCGTGGTTGTGTCTGCTTCTGCCGTGATAGTGTGCGCCATCATGGTCGTGGTGGGAGACGTCACTGTCCTGCTTGCCTTCGTGGTCGTGCACGTCACTGTCCTTTTCGATCTTGAGGAAATCAGGCTGTCGCTTGAGAATCGAGTTCAAGTCGAAAGCTCGAACGTTGAGCAGCTCGGACGAGTCCACTCGACACTGCTGGCACTCGGTAATGGACACGGTGCTGTTGATGTTGTAAATTTGAGCTCGAATCTCCTTGAGCTCTGTCGAGTTGACCAGGTCCGTCTTGTTCAGTAGAACGCGGTCGGCGAACGCAATCTGCTCCTGGCACTCGTGCTCGACACCAGCGCCTGGGCACAAGTGCTGCAAAATGTGCTTTGCATCAACGACGGTGATGATGCCGTCAAGTTCGCACGTTGCCGCCACCAGAGGCTCAGCAAAGAAAGTCTGGATGACAGGACCCGGATCGGCCATACCGGTCGTTTCGATGATGATCCCGTCCAACTGGTTGCGACTTCCATTGCGTCGGACGATTTGAGCAATGAGTCGAACGAGGTCTCCCCGTACGGAGCAGCAGATGCAGCCGTTGTTCATGGTCAATATCTCCTCGCCCATGTTGAATTTGCGGCTTCTAGCATCCCCTCCGACCAAGTCGTTGGGACTGGCAACTTGACGAATGAGCTGATCGTCCACACCGACTTCCCCGAACTCGTTTTCGATGATGGCAAACTTCTTGCCGTGGTTTTCCGTGAGCAAGTGATTGAGTAGCGTCGTCTTGCCACTTCCGAGGAACCCCGTGAGAATGGTGACGGGGAGTTTCGGTGGAGCAAACGACCGTTTGGACATCAGGCTGCGATTGAGATGAGACCGTGAAAAGTGGACAACCCCTGTGCGACTGGATGAGGAATGGAAAATGGTGAGCGCTCCCCGAACGTTGGTTCAAGTACATCCGAACAAGCCATTGCGCCGTAGCCTTCTCGCATCGAGATTGGAACTCTTATCAGGTTGCTATCCTATAATCTACCTTCCGCCGTCGGACAACTCGAGTGCTTGACGTCCGGCATCCGTTGTCATGGAAATTTTGACTACGGAAGTAACATGGAGATCCGCCGTCGGCGTAACTGCAGAGTAGTCTTTAAGACGAGTTATGCCGACGACGGAATGGAAGTGGACCAGCTGTTCGTCTCATCGTGTAATGTGAGTAATTTACCAGCTGATCGATTGGTCCGACAACCTCCGAGCATGAACAGCACAATCGAGAGGTTGTCAGTAAAGCCACCAGCCCCCCCCCACCCTTGTCTGCTTTCGATCTCTGTAATACTCGTCCGTGTCGCAAAGGCTACAAACTTTGTCGACTTTGTGCTGAATCTTCTCCTGAGTTTGATTGCTGCGTACTTCTTTGCACGGGTTGCCTAGCTTGAAAGTGCTTTGACTTGACGAGTGTGGACCTTTCGTCGTTGACTACAGTAGCTGCTGAAGCACATTTTCCGGTGAGTCGCCTGCATGTGTATGATAAGTAAATTGACTTTTGTACTTCTACCGGCCGCTTCGCTTGCATACATGCTCCTCATGCTACTGGCTACTTCGATTCAGCTTTTGCTAAGGTGATTACCATGGGCCGAGGGGCCGAATACTGTCGTTTTTGGTCCGGACATTGTCTTTATCTTCGTGTTTGATTGGACAGAAATGCTATCTCGATTTTTTAAAAAAGTACTTGATTGGTCAATATGTATTTAAACGAGAAGGGTGAAGGGCGATAATTGTGCAGTGACCATTGGTGATTATCCGTAAAAATGCCTTCTTTTAGAATGACATTCGCTGAGTTCACCGAATAATAAATTGATGCGTGCGAATGCTTCATCGCGATGCTGTTGCTATATAAAAGCAAGGATATGAGGAAAGGTTGTGTCGGATGATCCAAGCCCTCTAAAGCAAAGTAGAAGCGCAGCTTCTGCAAAAACAGGGGAGCACCAGAAACTCAGTGTAACGGGGTAGCCCGTTACATGAAATTGACACCGAACGGTGTCAATAGGAATTTTGTCTAGCATGACAATATTCTACCAATATTATCCGAGATGGATAAAATTGAAGGAATATTATCCCCTTTGTGATAATATTCATTCGCTGCTCCTAGATTGGTTGATACAAGACATATCAACCATAGATTGCCACCAATCGCTGCTAGACGCGCGCAATGAGTGGTGAGCAGGTTGTCGTCATACGACGGCGTAGTTTAATATGGTTAGATAAAGATTAACGTTACATTGATAGCTTAACTATATTGAATACAGTTCTCTTTTTACCCTTACTTAAACGAGTCGTTTAAGTAGATTAGCTTCCTCTGCACGTACAAGTGTACGTAAAGTTTCGCGGCACCCCAAACAAAGGGTGCCCCGTTACATCTGGTAGCACTTTGCAGTCCGTCCAACGACTACTTAGCGTCCGTCCGACATGAACATGTGAAACTTGCCGTGAAAAGACAGAAGATAGCCTTGCTATAACAGCAAGAATCTCATCAGTCAATGGGCGGGCCGACGCACATGCGTCGACCCGAAACCTTGAAGATTGATATCTCAATGTACAAGGGAACCGATGAAGATTCCCTTTTGAGATGGTTCGTCGAGTTAGACGTTGCCATCAGGGCCCGTCACATTGAGGATGACGAGATGCAAGTCACCTTCGCCCTGTCAAATTTGACAAGACGAGCAAAGACTTGGGCCTTAGGGCTCAAGCTTCACGATCCATACGTGTTTCAGTCGTTGGAGATCTTGAAGTCTCGGCTTAAAGAGACGTTCGAGCCGCCGAGAGCCGAGTTCAGAGCACACTCTGCACTCCTGAGGCTCAAGCAAGGTAAGCGTGACGTGCGCGCTTACGCACAACACCTACGCTACCTTGCGAGTAGCGTTACGGAGAACCCTGTTGATGAGCACACGATCATCAACGTGTTCATTTACGGCCTTGTAAATGGGCCAGTGAAGACCTGCATGTTTGAGAGGACTTCCATACGCCGGTAAGGGCGAAAGCGTATGCGGAACAAGAAGACTTCAGGCTAACTCGTCCAACTATCGTCCGACGAGACGACAGGAAAGAGGAGGTCCCGAACCAATGGACCCCTGTTACATCGAGAGCGAGAACTCTCGCTCTATGAGTCACAAGCGAACGGCAAGATGCTATCGCTGTCAGAATATTGGACACTACGCTCAGGAGTGTAGTGTCCCAAGCTTCGCAACACGTCCAAAGACAGGCTGTGATGACCGCCGTTGTCCAAGGAAGGGTCCGAGGCGTGGGTCCGACCATGTCGCAAAGTCGCGACAGCATGTCGGACCACCAAAAAGTGGTCAGGGTCAGTAGAGCTCAAGAACCCTGCATGATTCAGCAACATCAAGATAATTTTGCAGGACTCTTGACGAAGAACGCTCCAAAGAAGCAGTCGATGTGTGTTACTTCCCTTTGTGATGAAGTGTTCATCATCACTTTGAAGATCAAAGTGACAAGTGGAGTGTCACTTCTCGCCCTAGTTGACTGTGGGGCATCGAACAGTTTTATTCGATGCCAGTCGCTAGGGGATTGTAGGCTCAACTTTGTTGAGCTAGAGTTCCCTCCAACGAGGATGATGGTGTCCCTTGCTACAGGAGCATCCGTAACAGTGAACAAACGTGTAGTGGGAATCCACTACACGCTGGAAGGAAAGCAGTATAATGATGACTTCATTGCACTGGATTTGGATGACAGATTTGATGTCATCCTCAATATGCCATGGATTAAAATTACCAGCCATGGGTCAGTTGGCAGCATCGATCCGTGAAGATGCCTGCCGTTTGTTCATCGGATGGCCATCTGATGAACGTTTTGGAGCGTCCACAAGCGTGTGGATGTACTACAAGTGAGTGCGATGGCCTCACTTGTGGTACGGTCGTTAGTATGATTGCGCAAGATCACAGTGTAGAAGGCCACTACACTGTGGAACCCGCTTCCGGCATCTGTGTAGAGACACAGGCTGCGCCGAAGGTTCACTACTCGAAGAGATCGAGTGGACCGGAACACGGATGCGCACCAAGAAGGGTGCATCCGAGAAAAGAGATTAGTGTTGTTCAGGATGAACAACACGTTGAAGCGAGATCGACTATCAGAGAGTCGATCGTAGAGCAATCCCGATCGACTGAAAGAGAGTCGATTGAAAGAGGACGTGACCGTGATAGTACACGTAATGGAAGAAAATTCCAGCGTTCCTGAGAGCAATAACTCCCGAGAGAGTTATGTTGAGGGTGTGGATCCCCAACCACCTGCGGATGTGTTTTCCAAGGAAATCACCGAGTCAGTGAATTTTTTGGTAAATGACGGATCAAGTGTAGGCGCTTATACACTTGATCTGATTACGCCCCCGAAGTCAAATTCAGAGGTAATCAAGTTGCCAACGCTAGCATATAAAAGATTCTGCGAGATCTGCGTAGTTACAAGATCAAGCAGATCTGCGTACTCGTCACAGAGGACGAGTACGTCGCCGATATTCGGTTGGCACAAGTGTTTGCTGAGAACGTCGGGGTTCTCAGTAGCTCATCGATGGACAAGAGTGTCCTCGATGAGAAGACTCGGATTGAGCGGTACACGTCTCAAACTTAGAAGTAGATTCAGAGAAATCCTCCATATAAGGATTTGGTTGAATTCAGGGATGTTTTCTCGGAATCCGTGCCATGCGAGCTGCCTAAGGACAAAAGCACTCGGCATGAGATCGAACTACAAACCAGCTTCGCAATACTGTGTCACGAAGCAGTGACCACTGCCTCGTGAGCAGGTCACAGCGATCGACACATTCTTTGTCGATCGTTTAGCGGCTGGGCATGTGTGGGAATCAACATCCCCACACAGATCTCCGACTTTCTGTGTGTGAAAGACCACAGGAGGGCAGCGGATAGTGCACGCATTCAACAAACTGAACGCTGCAAAGGTACCGGCTCGAACGCCGATCCCATCAAGGATGTCATCATAGATGGTATGGCAAAGAGTACCATCTTTTTGTCCAGATTTGATGGATGGAAATTATCAGATCCTCATACATGAACGAAACCTTCCGTACACAGCAGTAAGCACCCCCAGTGGTATGATTTGGGAGTGGCTAGCGATGCCATAGGGGCTAAGTAACGCCCCCGCAACGTTCAACAGATGTGTTACGAATATATTGCGATAGGTGCGAGACTTCGCACCTAGTTACTTCGACGATGTCTTCGTCCACATCCGGGCTATGGATGGGAAGACGGACGTGGAGGTTCGTAGAATCCACGTCCGGAAGGTTCGTACACTAATGCGTGAGCATAAGTTGTGCGCAGACCTCAAGAAGTGTATACTGGCAGCGAGCGAAATACCACTTATTGGCTGTATCGTGGGTAAAAATGGCGTACGCCCTGATCCGGAAAAGATCAAGGCGATTAGCGACTTTCCCGTGCCAGTCGACGTCAAGGGACTTTGAAAGTTCCTTGGCTTGGCGGCGTACTTGCATAAATACTAGCGCAACTATGCCGAGATGACCGTACATCTCTCTCGTTTGTTAAAAAGAAAAGAGAGGTGGTCATGGAGTGCTGAGTGTCAGCACTCGTTTGAAGGTATCAAGAAAAGCTTTGTGCGATTGCCTGTGTTGGCGATTGCAGATCAGGATAGACTATTCCATGTGGTCTGTGACGCCAGCGATTTTGCAATCGGCTGCGCGTTAATGCAGTACGACTCAGACGGCGTTGATAGCGTCGTCTGTTATCAATCGCTCAGCTGCTTGTACCCTATGCATGACGGGGAACTCCTTGCCATGAAATAGGCACTGGCTAAGTTTCAGGTATGTCTCTTAGGAGAAAGGCTCTTCATCGTTTATACCGACCATGCGTCGTTACGCACGGCCGTAAATAGTCCACATCTCTTGCAACAAATGACGAGGTGGCTGTACTTCTTGGCGGAGTACAACTTCTCCGTCTAGTATAAATTAGGAAGACTAAATGTCGTCGCTGATGCTCTTTCGCGTCGGCCCGATTTCGAGCCGACAGCTCAACCCAACAGTAGGGGTGATCCCACTGTAGCAACACTAACAGTGAGTGCTCCGTCGTCACATCTTCTCGACGACGCGCGAAGAGCTTACACAGAAGATCAGTCTCTTCTACGATTGATGGATTACGTTTCCAATCCGTGTAATCAAATTTTGAAAAGCTTGTCGTCTCAATACCGCTCTTCAACCGAACGGTATTGTGTTCGTGATGAACTACTGTACTATACAGCAGTCAACGGCGACACACCTTGAGTCGTCGTTCCTGCTCATAATGATTTGCGATTGCGCATCATGTATGAGTGTCACGATGCCCCAACAAGTGGGCATCGCGGTAGAGAAAAGACTTACCTCACGGTAAGTCGTGACTACTACTAGCCCCGCTAGTATGAGTTTGTGCGTAAAAAAACACATCAGTGCTTGCGACGTTTGCCGGCGGGTGAAGCCTATTTCTTCATCCCGCGCACCCTTGCAGTCTCTGCCGTTTCTGGCAGAGTGCTAACAGTCCGTATCGATGGACTTCGTCTTCGGATTTCCCAAAAAAATCCACAAGAATACTGGTATTCCTGGGTTTGTTGATCGGTTTAGCAAGATGCTACATCTTGTTGCTGTACCGGACTAAATTACAGCCCACAACTGTGCGCATGCCTTCAAAAATACGCTATTCCGACTTCACGGGTTACTCCTTGAAATTGTATCCGATAAAGACCCCCGCTTTACGGCGGAGTTCTGGCAGTCCGTGTTTCCTTCACTTGGAACACGTTTGACGATGTCAACTTCTGACCATCCAGAAACAGATGTTCAGACGGAACGTGTCAACCGCGTCCTCGAAGAGATACTTCGAGGTTATGTCCACTCTTTTACGAGCCGGAGTGAGTTCTTGCCGATGGCGGAATTCGCCATCAACAACTCGGTGCAAGCGTCGACAACGCACACACCGTTCTTCGTGAATGACCTACGCCATCCACGTTTACCCGCCTTCTTAGAGTGTGACTCTATTTGAAGGAGGGGTGGACTCGCTCGAATGAAAACCGATCTGGTTCTTGCTCATCACCCGTCGACAATGGTGTCGACGTGATGGATGCCGATGTCGATGCGATCGATATCGATGATGATGATGACGACGATGCTGGCATATTCAGCATCGCCAATGACGGCCAAAGTGAGGACGATGACACCCTCACTGGTGAAGACAGCGTTCTTTCAGCAGTGCACACGAAGCGCACTGCTGTTGACAAGGATGAATCAGCAGAGGAATTTCTGCTGACTCGCGAAGCTGTTGTCCGCTTTGTTCAAGATTCTATTGCAGATGCACTAGACAGCCAGAAGAGAAATGCAGACAATCACGGAAGAGCAAAATTTCTTTCATTCGAGGAAGAAGACTTGGTTTTACTGTCTACAGTAAATCTACCGAAACACGCAGTGACAAACGTAAACAGCAGTAAATTACTGCCCAAGTTTATCGGTCCATTTCGTATGTTGCGCCAAACGGGTAACGCACACGATTGAACTGCCCCGTAAGATACGTACGCATCCTACATTTTACGTTGAGCATATCCGCCTGTACTATCCGTACGAGCCCGTTTTGATATGCGCAGAACACCTACGCGGTCGAGAGCCGAGACCACCTACGAGTGGTCCCGTTTCAACGAGCCAGTCTGGTCGACTAGCGAAGCGACCTGTTCACGCAGTCCAGCGATGTCTCGACGAGCTACAGCCAGCTCGTCACGAAAATAACGAGTCGAACGTTCGTTCTCAAGCTGCGTGAACGCAAACGCGGCACGATCGTTCGAACGATCGTGCATTTCGGAATTGTAATCATCCCTTACAAGATCCTCAAGCTTATAACGCCAAGATCGTTCATGAGCTAGGTCATCTTGCAAATGTCCCGTTAGGCAAATTCAGCTCTTGAACGTCAAGCTGATACGACCCTCGAGCCGGATCAGGTGTTTTCGCCACCACCACATCCTTTGGTAGAATATGGTGGTTATCAACGCTTTCTGATAGAGCGTATCTTGATCCACCGCGACGTGAATGGTGTCCGGACGAGTTACCTCGTCCGCTGGCGTGGCTATCCACCGGCGTAAGACAGCTGGGTGCCTCGCGCCCAGCTGATTGTTCGTGTCCTTGGTCTCGTTGAGCAGTACGACGAGACCCACCGGCTGCGTTCGAAGAAGGGCCGTCGTAAAACGACCTACTCGAACGCGAGTATAGGGATTGCAAAGTGTCAATCGCTTCGGCCATCTTTTAAGTGATGCGCGCCCTCCAGTAGGGATCATTAGGAAGGAATGTCTCCCTAGGGGCACGGTTCGAGTTGTCCTGTTAATCTGGACACGAATCGCCCCACGAGAGACAGGGTAATCCTGCCTCTCTTGAAAACCGGTGCCACTTGTATCGCACCCCGACTGGGTTGCGTTTCTCAAACCTGATGCGAGCTGCATCAATTCTGGCGATCCAGGCCTCAAGGCCAATGCACTCGATGTTGTGGATGCGGGCATTCCATCCCTTCACCAAGGCTTTGCCGTCTCGAACACGGCTACCATTGTACCACCGATGTTTGAAGAACTCTTCCTCAGCACGGACACTTTCCGTGCTGGAATGAGGTGTTAAAATCTTCCTATAATCGAACAATGGGACTCGATCCCGTTCGGTAGTCATGCCGGCCAACCGATCCAACTCTTTAAATGGCGGCATCCACGGAGACTACACTTGGGGAGCGTGGCGCAGGACATCCCGGTCCCCGGCCTATTGATTAGTGCCAGCATAAGCACTGGCACCAGTGTTACCCTGATCCCTTAAATTACTTCGCTCCCGGTGATGTACAGGTGCATCACCACCATTTCCACGCGTCCTATCGTTGGATGGACTTGCGTGAGGCGGAGATTCGTCGGAATAATCACTCGATCCGAAGATCTCGGTCATGATACCGCCGCGTTGACCAGAGCCAGTCAACCTGGCTCTTGCACTGTCCGCCCCGGGTGATCCGGAGGCGTGAGGATTCGTCTTAGAGTCGATTACATCATCCGAATCGCCAGAATAGAGGAGCTCTATCTCAGACTTGTCTTGATTACTATTCGCGGTACCCGCTGCAGACGCAGTAAATGTACCTGTCGCACGTGGTGACCTACCACATGGAGAATTTACGACAACAGGCGACAAATCGCCTGCTGCTGAGATGTGAGAGGCACTTTCCGCGTCCGCACGCATGCGTGCAGCCGCCCCATTGCTGCTGCAGCATCAGCTCGCGTGATTTTCGAAACCCTGCGTTGGATTGGCAAATGAATGGAATTTGACCAACAAGTGCTCCCTTTCCCAAAGCGATCCAACGTTGGTCACCCTGTCCCAATCATTTCTCATTCAATCAACGGGTGATTGATGGTTAAGGGGGGAGGGTGATGTAACGGGGTAGCTTGTTACATGAAATTGACACCAAACGGTGTCAATAGGAATTTTGTCTAGCATGACAATATTCTACCAATATTATCCGAGATGGATAAAATTGAAGGAATATTATCCCCTTTGTGATAATATTCATTCGCTGCTACAAGATCGGTTGATACAAGACATATCAACCATAGATTGCCACCAATCGCTGCTAGACGCGCGCAATGAGTGGTGGGCAGGTTGTCGTCATACGACGGCGTAGTTTAATATGGTTAGATAAAGATTAAAGTTACATTGACAGTTTAACTATATTGAATACAGTTCTCTTCTTGCCCTTACTTAAACGAGTCGTTTAAGTAGATTAGCTTCCTCTGCACGTACTAGTGTACGTGAAATTTCGTGGCACCTGGACAAGGGGTGCCCCGTTACACCGTGCGGTACTAATGAAACAAGGAAATCTGGCGTAGCTCGAGGGATAACGGCCCGTGCAAGCCGTCCAGGTTCTTGTGCATGCTGTAGTAGAACGGTATTGTAACAAAGGCAAGCGCGTGATCCAGCGTGTAGATCGTGCCAACGCGATCATGGAAATACCTGACCAACGTGTTTCGGCCCCCATCGAGCACAGCGAGAATTTTCTGATCGATGGAAAGCACTTGATGCGCTACCTGAGCAAAACAGGCCCAAACATTCGAGAATGTCGCCTCATCTCCATCCAGATGCGTGATTGCAACTCACAGTGGTGTCAGAAGCAGCTCCACAGCATCCGTTTCCTTCCAGTGCTGGACGTCGAGGATGACATTGCGGACCGGGTCCTCCATTGCCACGTCCTCAAACTTATCATCATGGTCGGTGGCGTTCGGCATGCTTATCAACACGGATTTGAAAAACTGGCGCTCTTGAGCATAGCAAGAACATTGTACCAGCGTGTTTTCGCAATAAACAACAGGCTGTTCGTCTTGTGCAGCTTCTCGACGCAGCATACGTAAAACATCGACGTCAGAAGGTGTACGCTGTTAATTTTATTTACGGTAAAGACGTTAATTTTGGGCAATTTAGCCAATCCATGCACAGGTTGTGTCCGCCGTGCATCGCGCAGCCAAACGCGAACGTAAACAGGCCGGACCCGAGCGCCTTCCAGCTCAAGCATGTTGTAACACAAGGCGAATCCGTGTTAAGACCCGACATCGACACTTCTTTTTAGGGTGCATCGGCGTCCATGACGACTTTATTAAGCACGTCGGCGTCGTCCTCGACATAAGTGCCCACCGACGCACGAAGACAACTATACTCGTCCTTCAGCTCCTCAAGCAGGTTCGTTGCCGTCTCGCAATTACGTTTCATAAAGAAGTGCATCACAAAAGAAGCAAGAGTATTGCACGCCATCATGTTTAGGCTTAGCTTCCCCGCCTTGTTCGTCGAGCCATCTGGCATCATAGAATATTTTTGAATGTGCAGATCAACCGGATCGCCTCCTTTTGAACGACCATTGAATCGTTATTGAGCAGTAGTCCGTTGATGGCGCCAGGTTCTGGGAAGTGGTACGAGGGGTACATCTGGGCTAGTCGCGCGGTCCAGGAATCGTCTTTAGAAAGTGTGAACGACGCCGCTAAGCAATGCATCGCGCACGCCAGCAGATCGTCGGCGTTATATCGATCATTGTCATTTATGGAGTCACACTAACGAGGCGAAGTGAAAGACTTGCGCGTCTTCGACACAGCGCAAGGCGCTTGCTGGGACTAGCCCGACTGGCTCGTCATCCTCTTCCGACCGTACTGTTGCGATATGTGCCCTGCGAGCAGCAATCTCAATTCCTTTGGAAAATAGTAATAGGTCAAATTAGTTGGCAAACAATAGCGACAATGAAGCAAGCGATTTCTGGCGTACCCCGAGGCCGTTTTCGTCGTTAGTGTGCCGATGGAAACAATCGGGCATCCCATGCTATTTTATTTCCGCGTTGTTCGCATTCAGTCTTGTCGCCTTTCGTGTTGCTCGCCCATAGCGATAATGCAATTAAACTAAAGCGTAAGCGTCGAGGTTGGTCGCCCGGCCATCTAGGAAGGAGATGAGATTGGGGAATTGCACTAATAATAATATCTTTTTAGTAGGGCTCATTTCAGATGTTATTATAATTCAATAACAAATTAGCATCCATTGCTATGAGTCATTAATTCTCTGGTAACGAGAATCACATTTAACCAGGGCTATAAGCGATTTTTTGCGAGCTAATCAGTTTTTTTTTATACAGAAAAATATACTTTAATCCTTAAAACATGATTTTATTCGGCTCAATGTGCGGACGCCTACTGTAAAGATGCACAAACGAAACTATCGTCAACTTTTTTTAGGCAAAGTGGGTACATTTTTTAACTGAACACATAAAGACCGACGTCTGCCCTCTTCGGCGGGGCATAATATGGTTGTGCATGATTATAATATGAGCGACGTCGTGGTATGATAACGTGATACACCGTACAATAATAAGTTATGCTATGCCGAAAATGGAAAATCTTTATCAAAGCTAGTACCCTCAGCTTTCACCTCCACGTCGAAGATATCCTCATCAGCACTGCCTTCAGTGCCGCAAAAAATTACAGGCGGTCAAATTCGACGATCATGCTTGCAGCGTCATACTCTTTCTCATTCAGCGTCTCTTCTTCAGCGTCTTCCTCGCTTTCATCACCAAGCTGATGTAGCCACCTGCAGAATTGGTATCTTGTGCTGATCTGAATCGGCGATCGAGCTGACTTGAACTGAAAAGAATGACAGTCCCGGTATTAAACTTGTTTTGTCGTTAGCGAGCGCATAAGCGACTGTGAACGCGCTTGTCTGTTTTGTGATTGCACTCGCCTCCGCTTGCTCCGACTGGGATTTTGTGCAAAGCAGAGGGTGGACTCTTTATGTATCCGCAGCAGGAGTCGTCACATAACGTTCACGATTCCAACGGTTTAAACATAATATCGTTGAAGTCGTCGTCATATTTTCCTTTTGGCGCACAGTGAAAGTGGATAACTCGCTCAACACTGATCGAAGTAGGCTCTCGACGCTATTTGAAAAACTAGCGATTTCTGCTTTTAACTGCTGGTTGGGCGACGCTCTCCCTTTTTACAGAATTTCATTGCCAAAATTAGCGGTGATTAAAACTTGCAATTTGCTGAATAATGGATCACGTACGATGGTAAGACCGCGGTCTTACGTCTAAACAGTCGCGAGGCGCTGGTGTATAAGAGTGATTATATGGTCCATGTCATTTGCCATTCAAAAACTAGGGTCCATACTCGTGCGATTGATTTTTTATGTGGTACTTGATTGCCACGAAGCACGCATATACGGCTGTAAAGTTGCCTCGTTTCCCTGCAAGTAAGTCAAACAGGAGCTAATCTGCAAAAAAAATTCTTCATCGCAGCGAAATCGCTCCAACACACTGGATATACAGTTGAAGCTTTGAGCTCGTTGCTAATCTCGATGTCTACTTCGACATTCAGAATCTCATATGGCAGAGTGGTACACATCGTCATAACTGTAGTAGCACGCTCGCGTAAAAGACGGTGTCTCATCAAATCTTTGTGAAAAGAATAAACAAATAATTCTTGTAAAATTTTTCCATACAGAGCTTGTCGATTCCTTATAAAGAACAGGAAACTTACTGCTTTTCACCATGAACAAAATCATCTTTAAAACGTGCTTGACTTCCACAAAATACTTTATTGGATCCATGCAGACATTAAGGTTGAATGAGGCGCCAACCGTAAGAGAATGCAACTCCTTCTCATACAAGTAATCTCTGCGCAGATTACTTATGACACTTGGAGTGTCTCTGCAAAAGCAAAGTATTGGGGTTTATTAAAGTGATCATTATTGGTGCATATCCGTCCTTGGTCTGACAGCTTCATCATATCTGCGCCATTCAGTCATATGTTTCATTAAATTTTGATATCAAGAAACCAGGAGCCGGCTTACGAATAGAACCGAGAAGACGTAGCTTGCCGCTAAGCAATTTTTCAAGCAGTTATCGGCACTCTCTCTGCGCAGCCTCTTCATGAAACGCTCACAAGTAAGTGGCTTAAGTCTGCAAGCCATCATGCCAATGACTTGTTTCCCCTGCGCATTCGTGGCGCAGTCCAGCATAACGAAAATGGGCTACAATTCGCCTAGTTCGAGCATAACATCGCTCTTGATCGCTCCATATTACTCTTTTGTAATGTCGCCTTTAATCGTAGCTCTAGATGGAAGTTCTAAGAAAGCCTCACAGCTCCTAAAAATTCGTTCCCCATACCCGGTGCTCAAAAGAAACTAAAGGCATGGCTGTACGATGAACAGCGCGGGCGAACAGCTGGTGCAGCTTCCTAATTTCGCCTTTTTTCGGCATATCAAAATGCTGAAGTCCGCCGGAGAAACCAGCGAAAGATTTTGTGGCTCAGACACAGTCCCGATACTGCCGTCTGAATCCGCCGATTGTTGCATCGCCGACGACATCACTAGCGCCGATTGCCAACTTTCATTACGGTTAAAATCTATTTAAACTGGTCATTGAAGCGGGGACGCTTTTTGGACCAAGCCCAATGATCACGCATGCTTTTAACTGCCGCAGTCACGGCATCAACACACGCCGATCACTTGCACTAACTCGACTTCTCGTCGCCTGGATAATAAGACACTTCAAATTATTCCATGCATCATCTTTAGTCGTAACAAATTATACACTTAACTTCAGGATGGCTTCCGGGCTGGTCTTGTGATCTTCTTTTCCTTGGCCGCTGGGAGCGTAGTTCATATTGTTCCAAGTCCAACAACAGCCTTAACTATACCCGACAGTAACAAATGATAAGGTGAGCCTTAGTTCGACTCTCATTTGATGATAATAAGGTGGGGCATGAAAACAGGGTGAAATTACAGTATGAAATTATGCAATGTACGATTTTATGGCGGTATAATACCACAGTGTAATACTGCGGGAATTATACCGCAATTATACGTACACATCCACAAGGCCTGCACGTCCCCAACAAAATATCCACTATTAACTGGATTCTCTTGAGACCAAAAAGCCCAGGGCCCTCGAATACTTGATGCCGAAGGTTTACACTTCTACGAAAGGCCAAAACAGTTGGTACCGGATTTCCTGGGTGGTGCAACTGAGACTTAAGTGTTGCACTTTTTTTGCAACCTTCGGTTGGTCGTAAGGGATATCGAACCTGCAATCATTGAATTAAAGGGGCGATGCTTACCAAGGCACCAGGGGAAATCCCCTGATCTATCTTTAAATTCGAGTTGACCCTGCACGTAGTCGTAAAAGATAGGCAAAACGCTTTTGATACACGTCAGATTGTCGACGTGTTTTGGTATAAGACTGTTCCTCAGCCTTGAGTGAATGCTTTCAACGATAGAATTTTTATCTAACGTGGCAGTCAACGTCGTCATACTAAAAGTTTTGATGGCGATCTGGCACAGATAGTGCCTTTCCTGACATCGATCAACCAGTACTTCAATACGGTCTGGCGCCATTATCCAGTACCTTAAATGCGTCGATTTTTTTCGCCTTATCATGTTCTGCCACAATCACGAACTTGGTCCACTAATGAGAATGGTCTGCGCTGACGCTTCATCGAATGTATTGCAGGACTCATTATCGACTGAAATTATCACAAATATCTCCAGCTGTAAGTCGTTGCCCCTGTTTAGTCCCTTTTCAATAAAACGTCATTGCTGCAGTAGTTGACATGCTCGCCATACTAGATTAAAAGAATAGGACGATAGAGACAGAGTAAGTACGGATTGAAGGTGGTAACATTGCTAATATACTGACATAAATTGCACTTTGTTGGCTTCCTTGCAATTGTAAGGACCACCGGCCAGACGGATCGTGCTTGGGTCATGCGCTTATCGGGAGATCACACCTAGTAATACCTGGTATTGGAAGATTATAGGCTGTTGGGTTTAAATAAAAAACCAAATAAAAGTGATTGTAAACAACGCTTGGTGCCAGCTCTGCATATACGAGTAACTACGGTTTATTTGGGTCATAAATCTATTGACGATATGACGAGAAATACCAATATATTATCGATCTGGGATTTTGCTGACATATTAGCTCTATCTTGATAAAAAAAAATTAAATTTATATAGTTGTGGATCGAAAGCAATCCATATGTTATCAATCCTCTTCTGTGCGATATCGCGATGCAGCGGGCGATACCTGCTGCATCGCAGTAGCCGGTCATGAGGTACATAGTGTGGCGAACAAACTTGAACCAATCTTTCGCCTCCATTTGTGTCCGGTTTTTTTAAGTTAGTTGAAACCACAATAGAGAGCGAATGCATCGTTTTTATGCACAACTATTGAAATCAATTCAGACCATTTCGATCGAATTGGCAGGTGGGGGCGATCG